GAATGGCAACAATTACCTTTTTATTAGGTCCATGGCACTAAGCCTTCTATCCAATACCACATTTAAGTCAAAAAGAAAGGAGGACCAAGGCACTCTTCATATAATTAATTAAAATGCCTTTATTAGTATGGCATGTTCAATAGAAACAATAATTTTTTTTAAATCCGACGCGTTTCGGCTGCATGGCCTTCGTCAGGGAGTGACGTCAGTGAAAGCAGATAATTGCCTGAAACGAGGACAAAATATGTAACATCCAATGCACATTTTGTTTTACAGATTTACGCTCTCATGGGACCTATAGCCAAATGCGTTTTGTTGCAGAGAAGGCCGTGTGCGTGCGTGGAAGCTTGGTATTATGCAGTGCTTGACATGGGCGGGAGCTGTCCGGAACCCACGTACCCGCACTTCACATTTTATGGGAATTGCGTACTGGCTCTTCTATAAAAACAAAGTAGCCTATTGAGGTCCCAGATTCACACACCGAGGCAAACAAGTTTGATCAAAGCGGAATGAAGGCAGGATCTTCATTGAATAGCAATGGAGGGTGGACATTAATTTCCTGGTTACGCTTTGTTCAAGTTTATTTGGCGCTAGTCTGTGAATCTGTGAGTGACTGACTTTAGGCTGTTCGAGATTGCGCAAATTGAAAACGTGCCAGCCTGAATGGCATGATGCGCTGTTCCAAGTTGTCAAATGAGGGTTTGTAAGGTCATGAAAAGTCATGGAAATTAGTTTAATAATTGTTGTTTATGTAATTCATGAAAGCACACTTTTAAATATGATCAATCAAATAAAATAAAAACTACATATCAGCCATTATCGGAATGACCCTTTAGTGCATGTCTGTGGTGCTGCGTGTGTGCCAGTGCGAGTGGGCCTTTACCCGAGGAGAGAGAGCGCAACATTTCAGCAGCAGGTATAAAATAATGACAGCCAGACTAACTAGATCACCAATTCAAAACATAACTTGTAGCAGTTATCTCGCTAGTTAACTATAGCTTATTAAGCATTTCGTTGTTGCCTTTGCGCCGGCACTGTAGAGCCTAAATAAATCTGCACGGTTGGAAAGCTGGGATTCCCCATATTAAACGGTAGCCATATAATTGCGGCAACGTAAACATATTCTAATAGCCTAATTGACAAATAACTTGCTGTCCAGAGATCTCCCCCGAAACATGAATATTTTAGCCTTAGACATACACATGTCTAGTTAGATACCTCGCTTTGAAGTAGCCTACCTTATCCATTTGATCCCTGATTTATTGAATGAGTGAATCATTTTATAAAGACAAAATTATTTGGTTGTAATGTTGAAAAAGCCAAGCCTGCACACCCAGGAGTTCTCCAGATGGAGGGTTGACCACATGTTGACAACATGTGACTATAACAGTGCAGTTCTATGTGGGGGGCTAAGTGCCTTGATTAAGGGCACAACGGCAGGAGGTGGTAGGTCTACATGGGATCAGACACAGCAGCTTTCCAGTGTCAAAAATGCTTATTTTTTCATGTAGGCTATAATAATTGTAATTGGAATTTGGTTAAAAGCCATGGAGAAGTCATGGAAAACGTGTATAAACCGTTAACAGTGAATAATCAGAGGTTTCTATACCATAATGTCATTTGTGAATTTCGGTGAACAAATGGACCGACTTGGCAAAAGTTAACTCCTGCGCTTCTTCCATCCCAAGTCAAGCACTAGTATTATGCAAATGCATATCAGATTTGTTAGGGATAGGCCTACACAGGTGTCGCGTGCGTGGCTTGTCATGAGGAATTCGACGAAGGGGAAAGAATGATAAAACAAGTCGATGACCAGATGGCACGATCGAATATGTGCATAATTGTAATATGCCTGTGTTTGCAGAGGCAGATATTCGACAGGACATGACACAGCATGCGTTTAACAAGTATTTAACATGCGTAATGTCCATGGAAATAGCTTGTCAGAAATGTTAATCTTTTTAAATGAAAAATATTTGGTCGATTTGCATCTAAAGGTTGTGCTATTTCTTCAACCATATTGGAACAGCTTTGGGCAAATGTTCTAGCACTTGCCACTCAACTCTCCACACGTGCCCAATGTCCAAATGGTGTAGGACTCGTCGCTTTTGCCATGGTGTGGCGTGTGTCTGACCAGTGGTGCTAAAACTGGGAGGAGAAATAGAGGGAACAACCTGGAGGAGCGGAAAGACGCACTGCGAGAACATTTGGAGAGGTGTTACTCGGTGGCAGAAGGCATAGGGCGCCTATAAATGTGAATTTGCGCCTTTTGTAGAGGTGTCATGTGCAACACCACGAGCCTGAGACAGGCCGATTCCCAGGCTTTCTGTCGCGTGCATGTTCCTTTATAGCAGTTTAAGGTGACACTTTATGTCGGTCGAGTTTGGTCGCACCTTTCCACGAGCAGATTTAGCTTGGTCCAAATGAAATGGCACATTCGCTTTGCTGGCCACATGGGTAGGCCTACTCATTTCTGACCCCAACTTGTCCTAGCCTACTTAAATAAGGTCAAACTATGCTGGTAATGAAAATTAACTCACCAAAGCAGACAGAAAAAAGACTCACTTTTGCCATATCTCTGTAAATGATCAAGACCAGTGCATTACGGAATTGTCACTTCAAATCAAATTGTATTTGTCACATGCTTCGTAAACAACAGAAGCTTATGTCACTATAGTCACTTTGAGTGGTAGTACTAGTTATTTATTACTTGAACTATAACGCATGGGAAAATGTAATTGAATTTAAAATATGACACATTCAGTCGAATTTCGTTTTCTTTCAACCCAGTAGTCCTACTGCTGATAATTGCACAAATTATTAAGATATTATGCTATTAAAATATGCAGATGAAATCAATCATTCGTTAAATATATAAGTAAATAACCATGGTATTAAAACAAAAAATGATTTGTATTTTGGCACGTGTGCGTCTGTCTATGGGGTTGTGGTGGTAAACCAAAAAGCCTCGACACCTCACAATTTGCAGCTATTTGTGAATTGAGCCATCACATGCTCCCTTCACAGCTTACTCTCAAATGGTTGCATTATCATCTAGTTGTATTCCAATTGGTGTTACAAAGTCACGTGTTTCTGTAAAGAGTATTCAAAGGAATTATTGCGACTGCTGGGCGATTTCCTCCCTCTTGATGAATTTTCTATTAATGGCCCACACCATGCGCAATGCTTTTTTACATCTTTGCTGTAGCCTATTATTGTATTGATAATACAATAAAACAATACACTTGGTCAAATGAACCCCTTTTCTCGTAGTTTGTGCAAAATCAAAGAACAGGGACTTTAGGCTTAGTGACTTCACAAATTACGTGCAATCCCTAAAACAAATATATTTTAAATCCTTGCTTAAACAAGTATCATTCTCAAATAGAGAATTAAAGAAGCATTTTAGACACCTTAAAACCCAACATAAGTATCCCTCAGAGGATGATGTGCATTGATCGACCCTAATCTGGTATTGCAAATATTTGTGCCGAGATCAGCTGCGCTTAAACTGCAAATTCCCTAGTGCCAAATACTGAAGAGGCTCATAGTGTTTGTCAGGAGTTAATCGTTACAATACTTAATTACATTATATGATGACCTCTTCCACAAACAAGAGTCAGATAGGAAATGTCTTCTGCCAGTTGTTAATGCATTAAATATCTCAGATTTTATTTGGATTATATCTGCCAACATAACAGGCTCTGTGTGCTGCGAACAGTTTAGCTTCCTCCACTGTCCAACTGCCCCATACTGGCCTCAAACTAGTGATCCTCTGGTTTGAAACACACGTGACTGCCCTCCTTGACAACATGTAAACCATTTGAGCGATACAAAATGGTACATCTTGGATGGCCCCATCAGCGACATTTCAAGATAGCTGTGGCGTGAGTTTATGGTACGTTCTTCACTCTTACACCAATAATAAGAAAAACTGGTTAAGATATTTATACTTAACAAAAATATAAATGCAACAATTTCAAAGAATTTACTGAGTTACAGTTCATAGAAGGCTTTATTACAGACATAAATATTCCTCAGGTATTTAGAGGAGATCAACATACTGCCATGAAAACAACTGATTGAAGCTAGTTCACATTACATGTTAGGTTGTGCCAAATCACACAAGATGCTAGATTTAAGAGTTTTTTCTTTATTTGGGACTTTGTGAATGGTTCACAAACTAAACTCTCACAGAACATTCAACAAGCACATATTCAGACAAGGATCCATTTTCACTTTGTATGCTTGGCACCAGCCCAATTTCACATGGCTTGGCTTGATTTGCTGAAAATGTCTCTCCCACTCATTCCTACAGCGCAAGCTCCAGCCTCTGTTGCACACAGTCCCATTGGCATCAACAGCGCCTGTCCAAGCCATGACTTCTCATTGGTGGAGATAAGAAGCATAGAGAGTCTAAGAGTGCAACATGTTTAATAATCATATTAATATACTAAACCCTGACCAGCTCAGTCTTAGATATACATTAAACAAAAATAAAAAACTGTTGTGCGAAGCTGATCAAACTATCATCCCAGGGCACCAGATCCAAGTGCATGGAGTTGCAGATAAGAGCACTGTTCTCTGGTCAGTTCCCTGTATGACCGGCCGGTGAGTAGAAGTGGATGAACTAATGTGGACTGAAACGGTTCAATCAATAATGTCTAACCACTCAGCACCATTTTGTATATGTCAGTGCCAACAGAGGACCAATGGAAGCAGATCGGGGGCTTGCGCTGCCTACACCACAGCATCTGAGATCCAGGAAGTGACTTCGCTGGCGACAGAGGTACCAGAATGTTCTTTTGAAGCCTTGCTCCTTTCCAGCTCACCCCCCCCAAAGACATGCTTGCGACAGTCAAAAGTCCAGCTGATTGGATGGTCTCTCCTTGTCTCCTCCCCCACGCTGCCCACCCCGCCGAGTGCCTGCGGCCCTCCATCCTTTTGGCCGGACACTGGAGGGGTGGGCTGCGATTGGTGGGTGTGAGTGAGAGGGTCCCTCACTGTTTGGAACGCCAGAACCTTCCGGCGATGGAGCCCAAAGAGATGCCCTGCTTCTTCTGCTGGGCCAGCTCTGCCAACCTCTGCTCCTCCTCCTGTCCCCACACACACACACACACACATCAGTATCTACAGTTACATCAGTATCTAATGGACTATTGCTCTAAAGTTCTCGCAAAACAGTTGGAGAAAAAGCATCAATCAACCAACAGTGAAAAGGTTTTTCCTACAGAAAATGTAATGTTTCTTGAGGATGAGGACACTTCTCTTATGTTAGTAATGTTGGTAATGTTAGTGTATTTGTTAGTTGTCATCCATTGCTCCTAAACATTGGGTTTGTTTGGACTGTACCTGTGCTAGCTGCGCTTGTCTGCGTTTGAAGGCCTCTATGGGGTCGTCTTCCAGTGCGTAGTTCTCCAGGACAGAACGCACGTCATCCACTCCACTGAGAGCAATGGCTGCCGGAGAGAAACACGAGTGAATAGCGTGTCTGGGAAGGAACAGGTTGGTCGACACACACTGACCATACACGCCATTGCGCACACACACACTTACTCTTGAGGAAATGAGCTAGGTCGTAGAGTGTTCGGTCTTCTGAGTTGCCGTCCCACTTCGTCAGAGCCATGCCGTTGAAAGGCTGCAGGCTGAAGGCTTCCCTCTTACAGTCCACCAGTATCACCTTGGAGGTGTCCCGGTTCAGACACGACACGTCCTACAGGGGGGTGGAAGAGAGAGAGTTGAGTTACAAGACACTCGGAAGAGGAATTTATCTAAAGAAAGTTTGATTAAAAATGAAATCTATCCCGTTCATTGTTTAATGGTAATTGTGACAATTGGAAATACCCTATTTACATAAGTATTCAGACCCTTTGCTATGAGACTTGAAATTGGCTCAGGTGCATCCTTTTTCCATTGATCATCCTTGAGATGTTTCTACAACTTGATTGGAGTCCACCTGTGGTAAATTCAATTGATTGGACATTATTTGGAAAGGCACACACACCGGTCTATATAAAAAGGCGCCACAGTTGACAGTGCATGTCAGAGCAAAAACCAAAGCCATGAGGTCAAAATAATTGTCCGTAGCGCTCCGAGACAGGATTGTGTCGAGGCACAGATCTGGGGAAGTGTACCAAAAAATCTCTGCAGCATTGAAGGTCCAAGAACACAGCGGCCTCCATCATTCTTAAATGGAAGAAGATTGGAACCACCAAGAGAGCTGGCCACCCGACCAAACTAAGCAATCGAGGGAGAAGAGGCTTGGTAAGGGACAAAGAACCCGATGGTCACTCTGACCGAGCTCAAGAGTCCCTCTGTGGAGATGGGAGAACCTTCCAGCAGGACAACCATCTTTGCAGCACTCCACCAATCAGGCCTTTATGGTAGAGTGGCCAGACGGAAACCACTCCTCAGTAAAAGGTATATGACAGCCCGCTTGGAGTTTGCCAAAAGGCACCTAAAGGACTCTCAGACCACGAGAAACAAGATTCTCTGGTCTGATGAAACCAAGATTCAACTCTTTGGCCTGAATGCCAAGCGTCACGTCTGGAGGAAACCTGGCACCATCCCTACGGTGAAGCCTGGTGGTGGCAGCATCATGCTGTGGGGATCTTTTTCAGCGGCAGGGACTGGCAGACTAGTTAGGATCGAGGGAAAGATGAATGGTACAGAGAGATCCTTGATGAAAACCTGCTCCAGAGCGCTCAGGACCACCTTCCAACAGGACAACGACCCTAAGCACACAGCCAAGACAATGCAGGACTGGCTTCGGGACAAGTCTCTGAATGTCCTTGAATGGCCCAACCAAAGCCCGGACTTGAACTCGATCGAACATCTCTGGAGAGACCTGAAGATAGCTGTGCAGCGACACTCCCCATCCAACCTGACAGAGCTTGAGAGGATCTGCAGAGAAGAATGGGAGAAACTCCCCAAATACAGGTGTGCCAAGCTTGTAGCGTCATACCCAAGAAGACTTGAGGCTGTAATCGCTGCCAAAGATGCTTCAACAAAGTAAAGGGTCTGAATACTTATGTAAATGTCATAGTTTTTTTATTTTTATACCTTTGCTAAAATTTCTATCAACCTGTTTTTGCTTTGTCATTATGGGGTATTGTGTGTAGTCTGATGAGGGAAATAAACAATTTAATCCATTTTAGAATAAGGCTGTAACGTAACAATGTGGAAAAAGTCAAGGTGTCTCAATACTTTCCGAATGCACTGTACACACATTTGTAGAGGGGAAAACACACACTTTTCCCTGGCCTGCCCTGCCCTGCGCATTGAGTCTCAGTGGTGAGCAGATGTAGAGGGACGCTGAGTTCTCCCCATCACGAGGTAATCTGGATCCCCCTGAGGTGCTGCTGACTAGCCTGGCCCGCAGTGTGTGTGTAGGTAGATGAATAGGAAAGAACCGGCACACTCCTCTCTCCCAATAAATAATCAGCATCTGCCTTCCTTCTGAGACGGGGCCCAATCCCCAAGAGAACGTGGGAGTGTGGACGTGTGCGTTTCTACATTAGCCTAGTGTGAGGTGCAGGAACAAGTTTGAGTGATGTATTGATGTCTGTGCTTACAGAGTTGGTCAGCCTTTCCGATAATTTACTATTTCAGTCAGATAAATATAGTATGTGTGTTGGGCACGTGTAGTTGAGAGTTGGGCTGTTGGGCCGTGTGATGCATACAGTGCTTCAGAAAGTATTCATACCCCTTGACTTATCCCACATTTTGTTGTGTTACAGCCTAAATTCAAAATTGCTTTCCCCCCCCCCCTCACCCATCCACACAAAATACCCCATAATCACAAAGTGAAAACATGTTTAGACATTTTTGCTAATGTATTGAAAATGAAATACAGAAACATAATTTACATAAGTATTCACACCCCTTTGCTATGACACTCTAAATTGAGCTCAGGTGCATCCACTTTCCTTTGATCATCCTTGAGATGTCGCTAAAACTTGATTGGAATCCACCTGAGGCCAATTCAATTGTTTGGACATTTAGAATGAAACACACCTGTCTATATAAGATCTCACAGTTGACAGTGCATGTCAGAGCAGAAACTATACCATGAAGTCCAAGGAACTGTCCGTAGATCTCAGAGATAGAATTGTGATGAGGCATATATCTGTGGAAGGGTATAAAACAACTTCTAGAGTGTTGAAAGTACCCAAGAGAACAGTGTTCTCCATCATTGGGAAACTTAAAAATATGGAACTACGCAGACTCTGTCTAGAGCTGGCCGTCCGACGAAACTGAGCAACCAGGCAAGAAGGACCTTGGTCAGAGAGGTGACCAAGAACCCAATGACAGAACTACAGAGTTCATTGGCTAAGATGGGAGAAATTGCCAGATGGACATGTCTCTACAGCACTTCACCAATCTGGGAGAGTGACCAGACAGAAGCCACTCCTGAGAAAATGGCACAACAACACACCTGGAGTTTGCAAAAAGGAACGTGAAAGACAGATCATAAGGCAAAAGATTGTGGTCTGATGAGACAAAAATGGCCTGAATGGAGAAAACCAGGCACAGCTCATCACCCACCTATCATCATCCCTACCGTGAAGCATGGTGGTGCTTTTCAGTGGCAGGTACTGGGAGACTGGTAAGGATAGAGAGAACGATGAATAGAGACAAACAGACAAATCCTTGATGAGAACCCAAACGACCTTAGACTGGGGGCGAAGAGTTATGTTCCAACAGGACAATGACCCCAAGCATACAGCCAAAGAAATGCTGGAATGGCTTCAGAACAAGAATGTGAAATTCCTTGAGTGGTCCAGCCAAAGTCCAGACAGAATCCCATCGAAAATCTGTGGAAAGACTTGGAAGTTAGATGGGGAGCGGCAGTGAACATCAAACAGAGCTTGAGAAAATAACATTTCTGAAATTGACCATCTTAAATTATCATTGTAATTGCACACACATTTTGCGGATGACTGGGATGAATGCAGGAGCAGATTTCAGGAGCAGGACAAGACACCCTCTTTTTGACTGATGACTGACATAAGACATGTACCTCATAGGACTTTCTGGCTTACATGATTCTGATGGTCATAATGCTTCTTGCCAGTGTCAAAGTCTATTTTATTAGTCCAAGTTCAGTGACACAAGACTGCCTTAATGCTTCTTGACAGTGTCACAATGTATTTACAACAAGTTCCTTAAAATATGAAGAAAAAAAAAAACATGACTAAAGCATTAATTACAAAGGATTCAAGAAACACACTTTCAAAATGAATGGAAACTTCTTGGCAGGGAAAAAACAAATTTGAATAAACGTGGGATTTGACACATGTAGGTGTCTTGACCAGCCATTACATAACGCAATATATCTCAACAGGTGTAAATTTATGGATCATGACAGTGTTTTGACAAAATTATGACAAGTTATGTCAGCAGTTATGAAGTGCTATGATGCTAGGTGTCAAGTAAAGTGTTACTGAATACTTATGTAAATGAGATATCTGTATTCCATTTTCAATATATTTGCAAAAAACTCCAAAAACATGTTTTCACTTTGTCATTATGGGGGTATTGTGTGTAAATGAGTGCAAATTTAATTTAATTTAATCCATTTTGAATTCAGGCTGTAAAACAACATTTGGTATGCCGAGTGGCGCAGTGGTCTAAGGCACTGCATCGCAGTGCTAGCTGTGCCACTAGAGATCCTGGTTCGAATCCAGGCTCTGTCGTAGCCGGCCGCGACCGGGAGACCAATGGGGCGGCGCACAATTGGCCCAGCGTCGTCCAGGGTAGGGGAGGGAATGGCCGGCAGGGATGTAGCTCAGTTGGTAGAGCATGGCGTTTGCAACGCCAGGGTTGTGGGTTTGATTCCCACGGGGGGCCAGTATGAAAAAAAGAATAATATATGCACTCACTAACTGTAAGTCGCTCTGGATAAGAGCGTCTGCTAAATGACTAAAATGTAAAAGTAAGTCAAGGGGTATGAATATTTTCTAAAGGCTCCGGTTTCACAGCCAGCCGTGCTCTGTGATCCCCTAACAAAGCAACAGGCTGTAAGCCAGAGTAGGCATGTGACCAACCCACACACACACCTTCATAGGGTTACACATGCCTACCCACAAGTTAAGTGAGCAGATAAACACACTGTGCACTAGTATGACAACTTAAATCTGACTCTCCCATGGAGAATGAAACAACAATTTGAAATGAAAAGAAACAAAAAGAAAACTGATCTCTGAAATGCACATTTGGTGGGGCAGTCGAGCACTCAACAGTCTTGTTCAACTCAATCCAGTCGGTCCACCTGTGACAGAAGGTCATGCCCTCCACTAACTGCCCTCTGTCTTCAGGGGGTTCCCTCAAAGTTGGACTTGTCATCAACATCAATGGCTGATTCTACCACAGCCTGGTTCTATCACAGTTAATTAGACAGAACGGCAGATAATGTGAGTCGTCAGATAGGCTTGCTGATTGTGTTGGCACATCGCATCTGTGGCTCCACATTGTTTGAAAACTTTTTGGGGGAAAAACACCATCGAAATTCACCATTGGACAGACGCCTGAGGCCTCGGGGGACAGATCTCTATTCAGACCTCCCTTTCTCTTACTCCCTCACTTTCTGCCTCCCTGTTGCTCTTCAGAGGGCCAGATGGAAGACGAGGGAGGGGAGAGGAAGGGGGAGGAGGAGAGAGGGGGTGAAGAGAGAGACAGAGATGGGCAGAAGGTCACCAAAGGAAGGGGAGGGGAACAGGAGACACGTGAATCCAGGTGAGTACACAAAAGGAGAGGAGAAGATCCTGTATGTAACGTTAGAGTCAGGACGACTAATTACCAAATAAATACATTAAAGTTCTGTATAGCAGGGGGGGGCAGGTTACCCTCATCAATTCTTCATGTTTCCCAATTTTTAGTAGTGAGTGATTAACATGGAAAGAACTGGCCATGCATCTTCACATAGAAAAGTTATACCTATACACCTACCCACCACTTCAGCCATACACATCACAACAACTAGGCCATGTAGGGACCATAACCACACATTCACTACCAGGCCAACCTAGTTTTCTCATGCATTACAAAAGCACTCCATTGAAACATGGTGATGTAGGCTAGGCATGTTAGTTACAGTCAGCTCTGATTCAGCTAGTAACACACAGCCATGTAATAGATGCCAGATGATAAGTTAGTTGAACAAAGTTGTTAATACTACTGTACTTCAGCCATGCATGGAGACTGACTCAGGCTGTTGGAGAGTGGGGGAGAGGGAGGCATAAGGTTAATGAGGCCCAGAAAGGGGAGGCGGAGGGAGGGGAAGAAACCCCTATTGTCAGGGGCCGAGGAGGAGAGAAAGAAAGAGGGATGGAGTCGGAGCATAGGAAAATCAATGCTGGAGCAGAAGGCGGCTATGGAACGGAGACACGGGGGGTATGGCACCATTGTGCCGACCGGGTCACAGTCGAGAGGGGCGCACCGGGGGTTCTGGGCTGGGGGCTTGGCCCAGGAGGAGTGGGGTTGAAAAGGAGTACAGCAACGTCTCAGAGTCTTAAACTCATGTCTTAGAAAATAACAGACAAACGGAGAGAGACAGAGAGAGAAAGTGAAAGAGCGAGAGAGAGTGAGAGAAAGTGAAGGAGCATACACGGGTCTATCCAAACTAAAGCAAACCAAATCCAACAGTCAACAAACAGGGCATTTGTCTGAACACTTTGATGGCTTTAAATTCAGAAACATGGAAGACATTAAATTCACGGAATGCTGTGTTATTGGAGGCTTATGCAGTGTACATAAAACATCAGTGTACACACACACACACACGGTTCCCGTGGTGAAGGTCAGCCTGATGATTTGTTTACCTTGACATGATGTCCCTCCATGTAACGCGTGGCGTCCCTGAAGAGGCGGTACATGACAAAGCCCTGGGGGTCAATGCTGTCAATCAGAGGGTACGCCGTCTGGGAGAGAGAACACGCATTACATCACAACCTCACACAGCATTGACATGCTAGATGCTTTTGCATATGCATGATGGCCAAAAGTTACATGGCTAGATTTGGCCTGATGATTTGGACAGACCGATGATTGTGTCGTCAGGGTCTAATTTCCTGAATACTCCTCATAAAATCACACTTAATCTCTTCGCATTAGAAAATCTAAAGTAACAGCTTCTCATAGAACTACATGGTTTAGTCAGCACGACTGCAGTGGGCAGGTGGAGAATACACGTGCCAATATGAAGCACAGGAAACCTTAATTAACATTGATTAATGATCCATTCTCCGTATGAAAATCTGCAGCTAGCGGAGTTACAGACATGCTTCAGTTTGACTTGGCACAGCCACTGTTGCAGGTCACCACAACACTGAGGCTGACCTTCACCGAGAGAAAACAAACAGTCCCTAAACAAGGGGCCAATTAGACCCTGAGCGGAGCATGGCTCATTTGCATATAAATGTTGCCTAAAATAAAGGAGTCTTTGCAGCCCAAAAGGCAACCCGTTCTGAGCCTGCCTGTTGGCCAAGACGTAGGTAATTAGGACAAACAATAGGGGTGAGGCATATTGGTGCCAAAACAACAAAACAGTCAAATGCAACAACACTATGGATGTTGTTTGAGATCAAGAATCGTTAACAGTGTTAGTTTGGAGTAACATAATACATTCAAAAGTAATGGATTTGTTTTGGGGTGACCATTAGAACAAAGGTCTACAGGACAAAGGTCTACAGAAACAAACCAGCTAAGCTACACCCAGCGGTAAGAGCGGCCCTGATTGGTTGTGGCGGAGGGAGGCTGTGACAGGTGTCTGTTAGGTAAGTGAAGCAGACAGGTATACACCTTAACCAATCCAAAATGCTTCTTCACTAAAATGTGACATATTATAGCAGTTAATGTGTTGTCCATTGCAACACCTATAGAATTGCAGTGTTGATTGGCACGAGACAAATTCAAAAGGGACAAAAGGTTGGGTGGGGGATTTAAGGGAAATTCTGGCTCAAAGAAGAGTATTTGTCAACATAGGACTGCAAAGTTGTACTTGAAACAATCACGGTACAATAAATGGTGTGACAAGGTCTTGTAAGTCCTCATTGGCCCATGCCAGAACAGCGTTCAAACCCTCATGTTGTTGAGTGATGTCACTCACCATGCCTGTTTCTGCGGTGAAGATGACTATCTCATAGAGAGGGGCTAGCTGCTGGAACAGGTAGTCGATGCCTGGCCTCTTCTTGAAGCGCCAGCCTGTAGCCAGCTGTGGGGAGTATAGGAGAACAAACCAGTTTAAAGAGATACTAACTACTCACAACTGCAATGGGATACATTCATTATGGCTAGAACACTCACTGAAAGCTATCCACACAAATAGTCAGTGAATAATCTATTTAACCTCTACGGGATCAGTGTCCCGTATACAGGACGGTTGAGCTAACATGCGCTAATGTGATTAGCATGACAGTTGTAAGTAACAGCAAACTTTCCAGGACATAGACATGTCTTATATGGGCAGAAAGCTTACATACTTGTTAATCTAACTGCACTGTCCAATTTACAGTAGCTATTACAGTGATAAAATACCATGCTATTGTTTGAGGAGAGTGCACAACAACAACAAAAACTTATCACGGCAACTGGTTTGATACATTCACCTCTGAAGGTAAATAATGTACTTACATTCAGTAATCTTGCTCTGATTTGTCATCCTAAGGGTCCCAGAGATAAAATGTAGCATAGTTTTGTTTGATCAAATCCATTTGTATATTCAAATGTAGGAACTGGGTTCTACAGTTTGAACCCCTGCTGTCTCTGGCTCCACACCCACCCCGCCCGGCCATCTAGATGTGTGAAAGTTAGTGTATAAGCTAATGACCCATCATGTATGACATTCCTGGGAGTGTGTAAACTTACATTTTGTATTACCATATCATTTTTGTATGTTCTCTATAGTTACATACTTGAAAATGTATCAATTGACCAATTCGGCACATTTGGGCAGACTTGATACCAAATAGTCCAGTACTGCAATGCTTCACTGGATCAATCTGAAACTTTGCACACACACTGCTGCCATCTAGTGGCCAAAATCTAAATTGTGCCAAAACTGCAATATTAAGTTGTGACCTTTCTCTTGCATTTCAAAGACCGAATGTGTTATATTCTCCTATATTAATTTCACATTTCCACAAACTTCAAAGTGTTTCCTTTCAAATGGTATCAATAATATGCATATCCTTGTTTCATGTCAAGAGCTACGGGCAGTTAGACTTGGGTATGTAATTTTAGGCAAAAATTGAAAAAAGGGTCCGATCCTTGAGGTTAAATCATCAGTTTATCATGTTATAGAGTGTTATATTTAGAGTACGATTTTTCTTTTGACAGCCATTATCCAATCGACATAAATCCAAACAAGTGAATGATTGATTAGTTTGTCGTCATGTTATAAAGTGGTATATTTACAGGTACACATTTTGCTTTTTCGACAGCCTAAACGGAGCAGCTTATGGCAGATGAAGCCTTTGGGTGACCTCCTGAGTTTAGGCCCAGCCTATGTTGTTAACACAAAAAGGCCGGCCTAAGCCACTTGCAGTCTTATCTTCAGAAATCAAAGTCTCTGTGCGAAGGGCCGCCAGGCGCCTGTCTGCTGAGGGCAGGTGTCGGGTTACGGCCGCGCCCCACCTGTCTACTGCACGTGCAACTCGTAGGGGGAGTCATACGGGGGAGGGGGCATGGAGACCACAGGTAAGGGAGAGTAGGTAGGGTCTCAGGTAGAGGCGCAGGTGGAAGGTCTCAGGTAGAGGGGCAGGTGGAGGGTGGTATTAGAGTAGGGGTTGAGACGGGGCTCTGAGGGGGCCAGGTGGAAGACACAGGTTAAGGAAGGGAGGGGGGGGGGGGGGTCTTTACAGATAGTGGCGGTAGATAGGTGGCGGGCCCCCAGCGACCCACAGGCCAGATGGCCACCCACAGAGGAACAATACATGTTTTATCTTGTTGTGTTCAAGGCTATACTGAGAGAAGGCATCCAGTTCACCCGGCCAGCCCCTGGTGCCAGGAGGCCTGGGTGAGGTGGTGTAAGAGGGAGTTGAGGTGTGTTGGGGAGGAAGGGGGTGGTACGTACCGACCACTCGGGGTGCAGCAGGACGTCTGTGAGCTCCAGGACCAGGGTGTAGGGGGGCTGGTAGTAGGGCTCCCTCAGGGGGTCAGGAAGCAGCTTGGGGCTTGTGGGCTCAATGATCATCTGGGAGGCACACAGATATGACATCACACAACTATACAAAAACACGATGCTGCAGTGGGAGGAACAAGTGGCACATCATCAGAACTATGTGGGTCAATTGACAACAGCCAAGCTCTATTAAAAAAGTATGCAATTTGTATTTTGTGTTGAACGAGGCCGATCCCTTTAATACTTGAGATCATGCATACGTTTTTCCTCTTTACCCTAAGACTTGAAGACTAGTCTAATGTCAACATGGTCACAAACAAGCTGCAGTAAAACACACGGAGGCCATCACTCCTGGCTCGCCGTAGTAAAAAATTGGAGGAGATTGTATTTGGCTGCTTATGTGGGATTGCAGGTGCGTTAAAGATTGTGGTACACTTCCTTATTTCGTTTGTTTGCTCTTAGCTGGCCTCATCCCTGCAAACCCCATAAAGCCATAATCCTGTAAGAACCAGCTGCAAGAGGGAGATGGGACGCGTGGAAGAGAGAACTGACATGTTCAGGAGACCAGAGGCCAGGGAGGAGGAGAGGGTGTGTGTGTGTGTGTGTGTTGTCGATATGGAAAAAGGGTGTGCACGTTTGGATACACACGAAGGAGACAGGGGGATGTTCACGCTCCATTGAAGAGATCAAAGTGCTACGAGGGAGATGGATTTTGGTGGGTGTGTGTGGAGGGGGTCTAACTGAACAGCAGCTGCAGGCCCATGCAGAGGCCTTCCTGCTCTAAGCGGTCTGGCTGCACCTGCCTCTGCTTCAGTAAAGACAGATAAGAGGCCTAACATGGCTCCCAGTCTCACCCAGTGTAAATATCCCAAACCAGCGGTTAACCCAGGGGTTTAGTGGACAATGACCTTCTATTCTACCTCCCTGAACCAAATACACCAGCCTCAGAGGAATAGGCTGACTAGATCAGCCACATAGCAAATACAACCAACTAGAGCGGAGCCATCCATTGATCAGGCTACATTGAACAGTGGGAGAGGCAGATAACTTTTTTTCTGTTTTGTGTTTGTTTCTTATCACCCACCTGTCTGTAGTCTTGGAAATACTTGAACGTCCTTCTCAACTGCTGGATAACCGGGGCGTCTGTAAGCGAGATCCAATAAGAGAGGAAATGTCAGCTATAAACAGTGTGGAGCGAGCACCATTTCTCAACACACCATACTCAAGACTGAACACTTAGCCTAAGGGGACTTGTGATCCATGTATGTATTGGCAATAGAGTTATTGAGCATCTCAAGCCCACTCCGGTGGTGGTAGAAATGGACACAGCTGCAGCCCTAATGAATGACAATTAAAAGGGGCACTCAGCAGTTGCTACATACACTGAACAAAAATATAAAAGCAACATGTAAAGTGTTGGTCCCATGTTTCATGAGCTGAAATAAAAGATCCCAGACATTTTCCATACGCACAAAATACATCTCTCTCTCATTTTGTGAACAAATTTGTTTACATCCCTGTTGGTGAGCATTTCTCCTTTGCCAAGATAATCCATCCACCTGACAGGTGTGGCATATCAAGAAGCTGACTAAATAGCATGATCATTAATAATAATAATAATAATAATAATAATAATAATAATAATAATAATAATAATAATAATAAGCCATTTAGCAGACGCTTTTATCCAAAGCGACTTACAGTCATGCGTGCATACATTTTAGTGTATGGGTGGTCCCGGGGATCGAACCCACTACCTTGGCGTTACAAGCGCCGTGCTCTACCAGCTGAGCTACAGAGGACCATTACACAGGTGCACCTTGTGCTGGGGACAATAAGTCCTCTAAAATGTGCATTTTTGTCACACAACACAATGCTACAGATGTCTCAAGTTGAGGGAGCGTGCAATTGGCATGCTGACTGCAGGAATGTCCACCAGAGCTGTTGCCAAAGAACTGAACGTTCATTTCTCTACCATAAGCCGACTCCAATGTTTTAGAGAATTTGGCAGTACGTACAACCGGCCTCACGTGTATGGCGTCGTGCGAGTGAGTGGTTTGCTGACGTCAACGTTGTGAACAGTGCCCCATGATGGCGGTGGGGTTATGGTTTGGGCAGGCCACGGACAACCAACACAACTGCATTTTATCGATGGCAATTTGAATGCACAGAAATACCATGACGACATCCTGTGGCCCATTTTTTTTTTTTAAAGGTATCTGTGACCAACCGATGCATATCTGTATTCCCAGTCATGTGAAATCCATACATTAGGGCCTAATGAATTTATTTCAATTGACTGATTTCCTCATATGAACTGTAACTCAGTACAAATCAACGAAATTGTTGCATGTTGTGTTTATATTTTTTGTTCAGTATACATTGACTTATAAATTAAAGATATATACCCATTGATTCTTGAAGAATATAACTCATAAATAAGTCATGAGCTAAGTTCAACAGTCGTATCCCATCAGAACCCAAAATATAAACTTGTTTTACTCCAATGTTTGTAAACAAAAGAAAACGTAATGTAGGTCCTGTGTAGCTCAGTTGGTAGAGCATGGCGTTTGCAACACCAGGGTTGTGGGTTCGATTCCCACGGGGGACCAGTATGAAAATGTATGCACTCACTAACTGTAAGTCGCTCTGGATAAGAGCTTCTGCTAAATGACTAAAATGTAAACAAACAATACATAGCCTCAAAACATGGTTAAAAATATAATTTTAATATCATGGATGGTTTGTCCTTGCATCCATAGCTGAAATTGAGTGGTTACATTTCTCCAGCACCATCCCTCAGCTTTTTACCGAACCAGGGAGACCGCTTTATTGTTTCTACTGCTGATTGCCGCTTTAAGAAAGGCATCCCTATAGGGGACCGCAGCATTGGTCCCAACAGATAACATCTCAGCAATTTGATGGCAGATGCTACTGGGCTAGCTCTCCCCTCAGCTAAAGCATGCAGCCAGGGGCCTCTGGGATGTGAAGTCCTTTGGGACAGAGACGGAGTGAGAGAGATGGAGTAGGTCTCTATGGGCCTATAGTGTCTGGCCTGCCTGAAGCCTCTGGCCACTGTGTTTAACCAGTCAGGCCCCTCTGGGTCCCCCAGCCCAGTAACAGCAGGTCTGGGAGTGGGTGAGATGGTTAAACACCCCCTACCCCTCCGGCCTGCCTGCGTATGTGTGTTTTATAAGGCCTGCATGTTTTATTAGTCCTGGGCGGAACATACTCTTCCAGAGAGCGTGGGACTTTGACCGGCCCTGTTGACAAACCTCTCCCCTGGGAACGCAGAGCAAAGCCAGGCTGAGGGTGGGTGGTAATCGTTACACCCCCCTGCAGGGGGTTGTTGAAGCTTGTGTATGTGTGTGCATGCGAGTATGTGTGCGCAAATGTGTAATATGCTTGTGTGGGTGTGTGCACATCTCTGTGTTTGTGCCACTGTGTGAGTGACTGTGAGGACAGGATGGATTAAGGCTTTTATCATGGTAATAAAGGGACTGGGGGTTGGTAGTGGTGGGATGAGTGTGTGAAAGGAGGATGACAGGAAAAGGATGGTGAAGAGATGAATATTTGTCAGCCAGGCCACAGTGGGTCCTCCCATGATGAGTGAGAGGTGGGGAAGCAACCTCTACCTCTAAGGAGAAAGGATGCAGCCAATTTCAGGCCATACAGTCAGAGACATAGGCATTCCATTTTCTCCATTGGGAACAGTTGGCTGTCACTATGATCACATTCAGTCTTATCAAAAGCAGAACCCCCATTATGGCAAAAACAAAGCAGTCCTTTTCCACAGTTGGGACTGACATCGACTCTGAAAGGAAGACCGTTACAAACTAAAGAAAAACAAAGACCCCCAGAAAAGTAGGCTTTGACAAGCAGCAGCACTCTGGTCAGGCAGCCTCTTGTCCTAACCTTGTTTGCCAGTAATAGAGGAAGGCCATTATGGCCAGTGGAAAAGCTATGTTGCTCTCGGAAGGGATGTCAATTTAAACAGGCGAGAAGTAGGGAGGGAACGAGGGAGGAAAGGAGGAAGGGCGAGAAAGATCGATGGCCGGGCCTCCGGACACAACAAAGGCCTCCTTTAATCCTCGACCGGGGTGACATATGCTCCGCTAGTTTGCCTAAGGCCATTATTACTCTAATGCCTTTCTCCTCCTTCTTCCTTTTTTTTTTGGGGGGGGGGGGGGGGGGGCAGTGAGCCTCTATTAGAGTGCCCAGCTTAGGGACACAGACTGTTGGTTGGGCCGGTAGGTACAGGAGGCAGGCTGGGTTGGTTTGTTTGTTTGGAGCACTGGTGGTCTCTATCCTAGGGGCTGTACGTTTCTGTCAGAGCGAGCAAACATGGAGGTCGTACAGAACGGCCCCTCATCAAGTCACAGCCAAATACGGGCTCTGAGGATCCTAGCTTTGGGATACTGACTGGGACACATGGAGGGTGAATGATCTGATCAAATGGACCGGAAGAGAGGAGGTCTTCCAAGTCATGAAACGCCTCCGAAAAGTACAAGTCAGTTATTTAAGCCTAATAATTGTGCTTGAAGATTAAAGCAACATATTTTCTCTCTCCCCCTAAACACAAACATCTGGTATGTGTACTGATTGATCGCATACTGCATCAAGACCGCTTATTAGATCCACAGTACATACTAGGAGTATTTTGAAAGCAGTCCTGCACTTGTCACACCCCAGTGTGTCCTCAACAGGTTGGTCTTTGGGGAGCTCATCACCGCCACAGCGTCCAACGCTCCTCCTCAGCATAATGCCGCTGCTCGTCACCGGCGGCGGCGCTGGCTCTGAATACCATCACTTGGCATGGCGACACAGGTCTGGCGAGCACGCCTGTTGCAGGCCAGACCTCAACGCCCCAGGTCCCTGAGGACCCATCCAGCGGAGGCGTCCAGGCTGCCCCCCCCCCTCCCCTCCCCTCCCCTCCACTCCACTCGCCTTCTGCCACTTGGGGTGGAGGGGAGCGTGGGCAGGGGGCTGGAATACTCCCTCTATGCTCCCCCGGGGGCACCTTAGACAATCATTGGCCTTCATTAGGGGTATTGAACGCTGTGGGTGCATCA